AATACACAACAATAAAAGAATTCATCCATGTCCAGTGATAAATGCTGGCTGTCCAGTTCGCATAAAAATGGAACATAGAATTTGAACCTCTTTTTAAACCTCTTTTATTATAATTATTTAATTAATGTATTATTTTTTTCTGCTTTTCCATATTCCAGTTTATATTATGGGCTTTGGTGGTGTGTGATTAGTAGTATGGATGGTGATTACTCAACACAATTTAAGATAATAAAACAAGTCGACCAAGAGAGAAGGGTTTTCAAATGTGCTGATTTGTCGAATATGTTCTTTGTGTCTTTCTTTGTGTCTTTCTTAACGTGCGTCACTTCTCCATAGAGATTGTGCAATATCGACATCTTGTGGCCGTTGAGCAGTATGACAGTTGTAGGATTTTGCTGCTGTTCTATATAATTCCTGAAAATGTCAGAATTTACTAGTTCAAAACAAGACATGTTCCACCTTCATTGCTACTGAGTATTACGCTGAGGAGAGTCCTGAAAACTTTAATTTGGTGTCTTTCATTTAAATAAGCACAGAATATTGATAATAACAAGTAAGTAAAAAGACAAATGTGATGTGCAAGAAGATGATGTTCATACCAAGGTTAACTAAGCCAGAGTTGAATTGGAAACACAATGGGAACACAAACTAGCTGTAGAACCCTTTTCACTTCTTGCTAAATCATTAGTTAATTCCTCACATGCAGATGAAAAGAGATGGGGGCTACCTCTGCAGTAGACGTCAGGATGAGTTATGGGTGCTACCTGGGGCTTCTCTGCATTGGATACAGCTGGTGCTTATGTGGAGAAATGTTTAGCTATGCTTTGGCATATGGCACATGGATGTCCTCTGTATGGCTTTAAATCATATATGTGCAGATCCTACTCAGAAAGAAACTTCACATGCATTTTTCCTAGTAGTGTGAATGGACTGGCCTATCTGACTAAAAGATGATTCCCATCACGTTTCCACGTACACCTTATGGACATGCCCACAGAATATATCAAATCATCTCTTTTTATTCATCTGTTTATTTATTTATTATTTATTAAACTTTATTTGAATCAAACGAAACCATCAACAAGCTCTTATATATATATATATATATATATATATATATATATATATATATATATATATATATATATATAACCCCTCCAAACACACACACACGCGCACATGAGCAAAAATTCATCCAGTAAACATTTAGTTTAACATAAAACGTTACCTATATGGAAATATGCATATAAATAAAATCTGTTCTGTTGAGGTTCTTGAATTATTTCTGTTCTTTTATCGCTGCGCCATCTAGGCTGTTGTCTGCGCGTAAATTGCTGTGGGTAATGGCGTTTGGTAAAATTAAAAAAAAGTTTAAAACATATTAATAATAAAAATAGACATAATGACAGAAATTGTACACAAACCAACAAACAAATAAAAAATATTTATTTTGAATTTACATGACTAAAAATGACTGTACATTAATAAAATGTGTTATATCACTTATCAAACAGGTAAATACAACAATTCTGTTGATTTTTTTATTTATGTGATAATGATTACCACATATTTGCATTATGCAAATTTAAAACAACATTCTTTTGGTGTGAAAATACATAGTACAAAAACAAACCTTTTCACAAATTGAGTGACTGTTTCATTTTCAATAAGCTTTATATTTATGGTATAAAATATGTGTGTCGCAAAATAATAGCATTTTATTTAAACAAATATTATTGCGTTAAAAGTTAGGTCTACATTTGTCCAACAAAGAGAAAAATATATTTGTTTTTAGGATGTTTTGTAAACACTTTACACAACATATATTTAACCCCTAATATCAGTATCTACATGGTCATATGTAGGTCACAAAGAGAATGTGCCAAATACACTGACGCGACACTTAATGCAAAGATAACACGTTTTCCTTTTTTCTTGAGGCCTGTGTATTGTTGTTCTTTAGTATGCAATTTTATTTGTTTTTTAAATATATTTAATCACAGTCAAATTTTTGTCGGTCTTTGTCAATCGATTTTAAAAGTCCAAATTCTCATGAATATGCAAGAGTTGCTTCGGAGAAAAGGGTATTTTTTATCAATACTTTTGGTATATTTATGATCAATTGTACTAGTTTATAAATTGCATCAAAACACAAAAACTCGTATAAAACAATAAAAGCACCATTATGGTAGGGCTGTGCTGACACTGTCCATCCAAAATTTAGAAACAGTCGGCAGCGTGAACTTGTAAGCATTTTCAGAATATAAGCATTTTGAGATTGTCTTGATCCTGTTTAATCAGCTCAAAGCACTTTCAGCTTTTAATCAGTTATATTAGTGCATAGCCATTACGCACATTACGCACAGACTTGCGCAGAACAATCTACATCGCATTCAACTCTGAATATAACTTAAATTTTGAACATATTGGATCTTACTCTTGAAATAGGATATTTAGGATAATTTTAGATAGGAAAATATTATTAAACGTCAAAAACTTCGTAGTTTTGTGATATATTTAATACTGATCAAACTACTTAATACCATTCATTCTGTTCATCTAGAGACATTGTGAGCAATGGATTTGAGAGTAAAATTCTTCTAACTTATTTTTATACCTACGTGCTTTCTTGGGACATAAAGAGAAATGCTTGGCAACTCAGATTAGACTACGGACCATATAAGCCCCATTTATTTACAGCTCACATGACACAACTATAGTTACACGGCTACTTGACTAAAGGCTGCAAGGAAATCGCCTACCTACGCAAGACTTCGAAGTTCATTATCTGATGTGTCTCTCCAGTCTGATACACCAGCGTGCGTTTGCTGCTCAAACAAGATCAGAAAGGATGGTGCTGTAGCTCACAGGTCTAGCGCGGAAAAAAACCCTAAATAATACTGCTCTCTTCTCCTTTCCACACCAGGCACATGCTGTTTAGTGTCTGGCAGTAAAACTTTACAGCAAATGGGGGGTTCAGTTGTCATGGCTACAGTTAGCCTACATTCGTTTTGGCCAAAGATCGCCTCGTCATTTGGGTGGGACTAACGATTCTGTTTATGATTAAAAACTGGAAAGCATGCTGTGCAAAAATGAGCCTTGTATTATCCTTTCTTTGTTGCTTTCTTTCACTGGGAAACAAAACGAATGTGTTGTCCAGGATTTGACGCCCATCCCGCCGTTAGTCTGCCGTCTCTGGGTTTACTGCAGCTGGCCAGACAAAAACCAAACAACCGCTACTTAACGTCCTTCCGTCGTCAACGTCAGAATTTCTTTTTGGGGTGGAAGACCTGAAGAGCGAGGCCTACAAGAGTCTGGCGCAGTTATTAAGAACGGAGTGAACATGTGAAGAAAGATGGATTTAGAAGTTATCCACCTGCTGATCGTCGACTTATATCTAGAATGTGCTGGATTAGAATGTAAGTTATATTTTGTTTTGGTGTGTTTCCTGTTTTAGAAATTCTCGGTAAAACCGCGCTTTTGAATTTGAAGTTCATGTAAAAGTCTCCAACACGGACGTTATCCTGTGGCTTGCTTTTGGCTTGTAACAACATGATCTCTATAGCTCTTTTCCTTAAACGACGAGCCCAATCATGTTAAATTTAAATTTGGTTAACCACAATTTAAATATTGCCCAATGACAAATGGACACGACGCAAAAATACAGCAGGCAACAAAAGGAATCATTAAGCAGAATTAATCTCTTTTATAAAAGTTTCACTGAATAACAAAACAGTCTATTAAGTTAATAATTGTGGACCTGCTGATATAGACACGTTGAATAAGCGAGTTTCGAACCAAAATAACAGTTCACTTAGGCCATGCATTTAAGTCTATGTGAATGAACACAGAACTCGAAGACTCAACGTGGACTTGGCTCCTGTGATTTCGGTCGTAGAGCGACATCTGGAGGTGAATTTATTTGATATAGTGTCTAAAAGACAATGTTTCGTGTATTTTTGGTTATTTATGTTAATCATTTTAGCACTCCTTAATCAATAATACATATGCAAATTTACTATTTCGAAGTTTTTAACAGCACAAAGTTTAAGACATGAAAATTCCTTAAACTAAACGCAACTCACTGTGTCTATTCTAATACAAAACAGCAGCAGATTTAATTCGGCAAACAATAATCAATAACACAAAAAATGCTCGCAGATAATAACTTACTGATAAGTACATTCATACAATATTATATTATTTTCGATCTATGCTGAGTTAGAGAGAAAGAGAAAAATTTAGTATGCATGAAATATTTGGTAAGCATGTAGGCCCGCAGAATTGAGGGGAGTTTCAACATGTTATTTTTATCAGATTTGTGAGTCTACTGTTTAGAGGATCCCCATAATATACTACGGAGATACCCATTTTGAGCTATCTTTGTAGATATAATAATAATAATAATAATATACTCACACATTCACTATCGAGCATGTCTATATCCACAGCTAAGAGCCATTTTTCTTGTAATAATGTTGTTTATGGCAGCAAAAAAATATTATATTGATATATCATTTTCATCATATGCAATTGGTCGATTACAAAGGCGTTATATTGTCTTAAAGTTCTGATCAAATTATACTCAACCTTGTCGTGTTTCTATTATTATTATATATTTTTAATATACAGGTTTAAGGTTGGAGATGACTTTTTAGGGTTAAGGATTGAGGTAAAGCGTATATAACTGAGAGAAAGTCATCGCTTGATCAAGCACTTGAATGAAGCAGTCCTGCAAGGGGAGGAGCTTGCCCGTGAACCACAGTCGCTATTGTGCTCTGGGCTGTAGGAAGCCTGCGAGCGCCTAGCTGGCTGAAAAACGAACCGTGAGCGATCCTTTCGCCTTGGCAAAAAATATGCCGTAGCAATGTCATACTCTGAAAGGTCTGTTTTCGCGCCCACCGAGGTTAAATCTTTGGCTAGCCAAAGTCTAAAGGGACACTTGAGCATGGCACAACAAGACGCCCGCCCTGACACGGACTGTCAATTGCAGACTAACTGGGCAATACTGTCAGAGTCTTTAGCATTCCAGACAATAAACCAGCATCATCTGTCACCGGTACAGGAAGCTATGGCTCTTTCGCGGCACCAAATCCACCATGGAGCTAGGACCTGGGAAGATTCGCACTTGAGTTCTGCTCGGGTTTCACAGGTCAGCGCATGTCCTTTTAGTGAATTAGGCCGAAAAACCGTCTCTTATCTTACCCTGGACTCGGACAGAAATTCAACGCAGCAGCCTCTCGATGTCCCAGTGTTCAGTAGACTCATGACAGAGGTGGGCTCCATGAACAGCACTGGCCACGTATCGGGCTATTTCCGTCCAGAACCGTCCTGTTACCCCGGACACAAAACCCCAACATCGCATAGCACTGCCGGCGCTCTCCCGGTCAGCCTGCCGCATTCCCACCAGTTGTACAACATCAGCTTCTCTGGGCAACCTTATCCGCACTCTGACAGCAAACCTATAAGCCATAACTTGACATTCGACTGCACAGAATGTCCAAGCCAAGGGAGGGAAAGCTGCAGAAGTCGGGACGCTACACTCACCACTTTAGACAAATGTCAAAGCAACGCAGACGCCACAGAGCCGCCTTGTTTACAGCAAGACAAACCTTTTACAGACCTTTCCAAGGACGCCAAACCTCCCCGAGACGAGGCACAAGGTGGGTATACAAAACTGTAAGAAATAACACGGGATAACACGTCTCCAGCTGACCAAAAGCACGTTTTATTTCTTTTTACGAACGTTGTTAACAGTAATAGTCGAGGGAGCACAAAAGAAGTTAGCGAACTGCTAAATTAATAAATTAATTTATTGCACGAAACCACCCCAGACAGAGTGAATTGCTCTTTCACACAACGCTTCAGAGAACATCAAAACAGCGGAAGGCTCCATTGTCAACTGGGAGCCGAGTGGGCCAGGTGTGTTATTGCTTTAGGGCACGCGAACATAGCAAATAGACCACAGTCAGTTCACAGGATAAAACAAAACGCGGTGTCTAATTCTGGAAGCATTAGTTACTCTTCATGCCGGTGACTATAACGCTCAGTTTAAATAAACTAATTAACAGCAAGATGCATTTAGCGTAGGACTAAACGAAAAATGGAACCCACAGCTAAATTCGTGACATGCAGTTAAATCGTGGAACTGAATTTATTTGTGGGTTTCTCTTTAGCTGTGTTTTTTTTATTTCTCAGTAAGCACTTCCTTCTTTCAGTTGTAGAAGAACACATTTCACACACTATTTTTTCATGTTTCACTTTAAATTTATCACTTTCAAGCAAATGTGACACACATCTGGGAGTGGAAATCTACACACAGAAGCCGAAGTGTGGCATTTTTTTTTTCTTTGGTAAACTTTACCACAGTTTCGAAAAGATCCACTGCTATATTTTAATGCCTTTTTCGTACGTTCTTTTTATTAGTATGAAGGCCGTTTCAACGACTCCAGATCCAGGTTGGGCTGAAATCATGTTCAAACACATCTAAAGTGAGAGATATTTCAGTAAGATATTAGGAGCATGAAGTAGCATTTTCATTCGAATATTAACTTTCGTGTTATAGGCTTGATTAATATATCCGGTGATGTGTGTACAATTCAAAGGCACTGGAGTAAAGAAAACGGTTAGACCTGCCCAAATAGACCCAGAATAATACTCATTTTGGTGCTTTTTTTCTTTGAATACTTTTGGGGGGATGATGTGTTTTCATTTTTTCAAATGCACTAGAACAAGCTCTTTTTAACAAAACAAGGGTTTTGGTTTCACAAAGAAAGCAGATTCCCTAATTCATGTGCGAAACTTCAAGGCTGTGTGGACATAATTGGAATCTTCTGTACGTTTCAGTTTCTCCCACTACCACACGAACTCTTTCAGTCCATGGCTCAGTGGCACACAATCCATAGCAGAAGGCTAATGGGTTTACCTCTTGTCATAAAATGTCTGCTTTATTTCTTGTCATAAAACTAGCCTGCTAGTGCCGCAGCGGCTGTTATTTTTGTTCAAAAAGCGTCTGTTCTCTCATTTCAGCTGAAGACGTGACGTTCGATAACGCTACGAGAGGCTGGTTGTCGGCGAAAGCGGGGAGGAAGAAGCGATGTCCTTATAGCAAACACCAAATCCTGGAACTTGAAAAAGAATTCCTCTTCAACATGTACCTGACTCGAGAGCGCCGCCTGGAGATCAGCCGCAGCGTCAATCTCACTGACCGTCAAGTTAAAATCTGGTTTCAAAATCGCAGGATGAAACTAAAGAAAATGACGCGGGAGCACAGGACAAGGGATGCGGGCACTCATTTACCCATGTGATTTGTTGTGGGTCATTGTAAAGGCTTACCAACGAGACTGTAGCCAATATAGCAAGGACTGAATATTCAGCACACTTGTTGGATTAAGTTAAGGCTGACGGATTAGACAGCTGATTTCACATGAAGACGAGACCATTTTCTCAGCATTGCCAATAGAACGCTTTGTCATAAAGCTGGCTTCAGTGCTGGCTTTTAAAGTCTTTCATGACCTTACGTGCACTTTATTGGTTCCATTTGAGCCATTTCCTCTTTCCTCAAAAGAAAATATTTTTCTTCTCATTCCATCATCGAAGACTATTGTTTACAGTTTATGTGCAGAAAACCACGAGATTATTTATCGGTTTTATTTATTGTGGATAGGGCGAGCAAATAAATTGGGAACCAATAACAAAAATAGCACAATAAGTGGCACACAGTAAGTTAAAAAAGAAAAATAAAGCATGGCTACATCAAGCACAGGTAGATTAGTTTTTGGGATGCTGAAATTTGATTCTAGGTGGAGGTAAAGTTTGTCTGCTTCCATGACATGGATGTTTTTTCTGGTCAACCGCTGCTGGTTGCATTTGATTGTTTCTGATTATTAGTAATTTTTGATGTGGAAAATCTGGCATTTTGAAATATTAATAATAAATGTAAGTGATCATACAAGTATAAGGCGTATTCAAAATTCTCAATAGACCATTTCGCAATATTTTTTGATGTGATTTAGCACGAATTTTGATCGGTTGCACTCAATAGCCTAGTGCACTGCAAATTTTTTTTTGTGGTGTTTTAACTGAAAATAAAAAAAAAAGATACCAGGCCACTTAAAAATAGATTTGATTGAACTTTTATAAATTAAATGAATGGATAAAAAAACAGGTTAATGTTCTGTTGATTAACACTCAAAAATTAAAAGGCAGCCAGGTTACTTAGATTTCTTTTTTTTGACGGTGTAGTCCCGCTGTAGTAGATCAGATTGCGGACACTAAATACGTGTACGACCCATGTATGGTCCATGTATTGCATTTGTTTATGTGGAGAATCTGAGTTGACTGAGTTTTATTTTTGACTTTTGACTTTTATTTTTATATTTTTATAAACCAGAAAAGCATCTTTTGAAATTATTCTAGGAGATATTCACTTTAGCAGGTTTAGAAAAAAGTACATCTATTACTGACATATTAAATGTCTGACTGATGTCCACTCTTTTCCTTTTTAACGCACAGCAGTACTGCGTATCGTTGAGTTTTAACATGCCTATCGGATTCCAGAAAGAAGACAGGCTAGTAGATCTACAACTGGAATTCGAAAGATTAAACTGAGATTCACAAAAAAAAACTGTAAATACGTTTCCTATATTTGAATAATGGCTCAATGCTGCTGATAAAATGGAGAATGTAATCTTAGTTACTGAGTGTGCGCGTGCACAGCAGATGTCTTTGCTCTTTCTGGAATAGTTGTTGAACTCTGCCTCGTAATCTTGAAAATACAACCGTACGAAGTTCAAAAGTCAAGTTGCAAACAACAGGATGTTCAAGGATTTATTAATTCAGCTTTTAAAGTCCACATGGCCTTCTAGTCCTGAGCCCTTGTTGGAGATCAGTGAACTTTCCGCCTTAAAGAAACGTTAATAGATTATCTTTGTCTTGGAAAGGCAGGAGAGAATGAACCTAGTCTATATCTCTCAGGGAATGCATGAAAAGATATGGCAATTTAACAATATCAAACGGAGACGTGACCTTCATGTTATTCTAATGTCAGAGAGGTTTTGCCTTCCATCTCTGTTTGAAGCGAAGTTAAAATGTATCTCTATTATCGTGTGTGCCTTTCATTTTTCCCAGGCTGCGCAGCTCGCTCTGAATGGTTGGAGGGTTAAAAAATAATTCAGAACATATGCGGATACAACGCACAAAATACAGCTGCTGCCCTTTTGTTTGAGCCAGTGACTACGTCTGTGCTTTTGGGAGTCGCCATGTTTAGAGTCCACAGTTCCCAACGTCATTGGCCACACAGGGCCCCCCTTTTTAACAGGGGCAATCGAGTCGCTTTTTATTACTAAGCCAGGCTGCTGAAGTCAAAGGACCGGATGTGCTTGTGAACTTAAATGACTTTATACCCGGTAACTGCTTTGAACAATCGCCTGAAATTTCGGCATCATAAATTAATTTAACCTCACAACACGTGCATGTTAACAGCATCATTCTGGGCTCTATATATTATGTTTTATCTTCTTTTTGCTTTAATGTATATGTCTTGTGGTGTTAGTTGTACACTCTGAAGAGACACATGATTCCCTGCATTTGTCCAACCCTGCTAAAATCCGAGTGGACTCTCCAGCACTCCAGCTCAGTGTTTCTCACCGTTTGCTGGCGCGCGTCCACAGTTTCACCTTTGAACGCACAGAAGGTCAAGCTGGTGTGTGATTTAGGTAGTTTCACGTTGTTGGGCTGGACGTTTAATAACACAGGAACCTGAAACTGCCTGGATTACTCCAGCTGATACACACCAATGCACCGCCGTAGCATTGGCAACCAAGATTTGTCCCTACTAAAGAACCTAAGACAATTTGTGCAAAATTACGCTTATAACAGTTTTATCTTTTGTCTCTAGCAGATCCAAAACATCTTGCTGACATTAGCTGACCTGTTGCACGCAGAGCAGCGTGGAGGCCTGGGATGACTTCTCAAGCCCGTTCCTTTGCGATCATCAGTTCATTTACAAACATAATACCTTTTATGAATGTTTCAGCGCACAGCAGTTGTAAATCTTCCCACCCAGAACACATCAGACTTCTTCATTTTCACACGAACCTGTTTTAACTCTTGGCCGGGGAGTTGACTAATATATGTCTGAAGGCATTGTTTATAGAAAGCTTCTTTTGAGCAAATATAGTATACTTGATTAATATTTCATACATTAATGTGTGATTTACTGCCATGATATCACTGTAACAAACTGTGATATAGTCTAAAAATGGCTAGAAAGACATTGTCAGCTAATGTGACGAACTACCACGTCAAATACACCGAAATGCATACCTAATGATAAAATCTTACAAAAAAAATGCAATTTAAATTAGTCTTTGATTGTGCACCACTGATTAGACACGTTAGGGAATTCCACTGATTTGTTTTTGTTTTTTTTTCTAAATTCCTGCATAATGTAAATACATCTTTCCGACTGGTTTGACGCGAAGAGGTTCACTGTAGAGACACACACCGACTCAGATTTTATGGTGGTGATAGGAAGCAGGGGTCGCAATGTCTGCAGATCTAGTATCCAAAACGATCAGTGAACCTACACATATGTTTTGAGTTTTGTATATGCAGTGCGTATTATGATAAAACAGTAGTAACTCTGACAAAAATGTTCTTTGGGAACTATTTGTCCTCAGAACGCCATGCATGTACTTCTCCGCCATGGCTAGATTTTAAAAACATGTTGTAGGCCAAAACTTACTCTAAAGACTGTCATACAGCAATAGATCAGCAATCAAGAAACATATAATAACTTTCTTTAATGTTCCTTTTGTAGGCATTGAACTCTTCAGACGTCTGGTTCCTATCACCACTGCTGCGAACTGTTCTGACTCCGTGCCATTCTCTAGAATGAAGACCCACTCTAAATGATTTCATCTTATTGTTTACAGTCTATCAACTTAATTACGAAGGTATTTTGAAAAATCGCAAATGCGCAAATGCGTGCTACTTTTTAACTCTATTTCGTCATAGAAGTCCATTAATGTGTGCGTGCGTGCGCTTGTGTGTTTGTGTGTGTGTGGTTTGGTTTATGTGCTTGTCTGGATGAGTAGTGCATGCATTCAGTGGCTCCGGTTGCCGTGCGAATAAGAACGATTATGGAAGTGTTAGATAAGTATGGCGTACGCTTAATTGAAAAATAAACTTTTTAAAATGCTCAGTGGTGTTGTTTTGTCAAACAACTTCAATGTCATTGGAACTGCCAGACTGGACCCCCCCACATCCCCCAATACAAAGACGTTTTTAGATTTGGTGACTAAATGTTACAAAAATCTAAAACTACATGCAGTAATTAGCAAATACACCGTGCTATCCCAGATATAAACGTTACGTGCTTACATATAAAGTTTACATGGTCCATGGTGAATAATAGCATGAACACTTCTGTCATATTTGTCATACTTCATGAAAAAATGCGATGCATTGACTTGATTCCATGAATTGCACATTAGTTGGAATCTATTACATCAACACCGTCTCGGCAGCAATTGTTTTGATATGATACATTTTATTCAAATGTGATATTTTTTTAGTGTACTGCTAAACTTTACAGAGCACATATGTTCGTTTATTGATATGAACAGACGTGCATAGTAGAAAATCGTGCTTTCTGTAATCACTCAGTCTAAGTAGCGTATACGCAGGTAATATTCACATTTAATTTTTTTAGTTTAGGGATGTTTTGCAACCTCAAAATATGTCCCAGTTAGATTATATAAGACATGAGATTTCGTTAAAAAAACATTCATTTATTAGTTCTTTTTTCATTTGCATCATATACAGAATTAGTCTAAAATACGACAACTGCAACCGAACGTATGTGATTTCTAGGTCTACTACTTAGTTTAAATGTTGTTAACACTTGGAGTGTACGTACCACTTAACTTGCATCTAAGGAAATTATTGTTATCTCTGGTGTTGTTTTTTGTGTGTGTTTTGTATTGTTGTTAGTTCCCATTAAAACTTGAAGGGTCATTACATACATAGACCTATGGTGCCTGAGCGGTGACATTAGGTATTATGATCAATGTGTTGAAGTTTATGTATATACACTCTTAATATTAAATCACGCTGCTCTTGGGTGTATTAACAGCAGTTGTATGGTTTATTACGGCTGTAGCAATTGCCATCGCCTTGTTTTAAGCCAGGAATAGTCGTCTTTGCCTTTGAATAGATAGATAGATAGATAGATAGATAGATAGATAGATAGATAGATAGATAGATAGATAGATGGTGGTCTTTTGTCTGCTATGCTGCAGATCAAAAATAACCTTTGTACACAATCAAGTGAAAGATTTTAGACTGAGACGTGGTTAACTTTGCCCATTCATACCGTTGACAGCTGCTTAGCGAAGCAGGGATATGATCCTGTACTAGTGGTGATGTATTCGGGAACTGAATATGATCCAGGCAAAGGGCAATACTTTCCAAAATGAATGAGAGATGTGCACAGTAGTAGAAGAGTTAGTACCGCATTGGAATTGCGGTGTGGGCAATGCATAGCCACTACAGGTTTGAGGAGAAGCTAAACTGTTTACATTTTGAAATTATTATGCATGCCTTTATTTTATTAAAATATATAAACTATGCAATTCGTCTTCGCCATACATTTATTTTTTTTATTTTGGAACATATCGTCGCTGTCCAAAGAAAACATATATCTCCAAATAGTAACTTTACAGGAGAAGGCAGAATGTTCTTAAATTTTAACGTAAGTTAAAGTAAGAAAAACTTATTTAAAGGCATTTTGAAGCATTGCTATTGATACATTTGTCATTGTTTTTTCACGCAATGTAAAGGACAGCTGTAGGGTTCAAATGATATAGAAAAAATAAAAATGACAAAAATGGAGCTATGTGCTTTTTTTTGGACTGCAACGATAATCAAAATGCTAGAAGATAAAGACACAAACGCAACCCACAGTGTTTAGTTTCTAGGCCTTCTACTAATTAACTTAAATGATCAGGAAAGCAGTAAGGTTTTAATTTACCCTTTAGGTGCTTCACATTTTTGTGGTTTTCTGGCTTTCCCAGAGCTTATTGCACGAATGTGTCTCATTATGACATTGGCCCTGTTTACTCATAGTTACAGGGTGTGTATAAAATTAGCTCAGTGCCAAATGCAAAATTCGCATTTTTTAAAAGCTACATGTAATAGCGCAGTATTAACTAAACTACTGTTTTCTTAAACATTCAGATGACGAGTTTTTAAATATCTGTCACAGTTGTGCATTAAATAATAATAAAAAAAGCACAAACCCTAAATACTTTTACCTTTATTGAACTTTTCCTTCATTGGGAGGCACCTTGTTTTAGCTGGACGTGTGAGGAGGTAATATTGTTTATATGCTGGACGTTTAGGAAGACAAAAGAGGCTAATGTGCCAAGCAATATACAAAATGTGACGTCACAATCAACATATAGCGCTTTTAGCAATTCTCTGTATGTCGATTGCAAAAAAAATAAAAAAAAAACGTTTCAAAGCAAGTGTGTCTAAATCGTACTTTTTTCTCGGGAGCGCGTGCACGGAATGCTACGGCACACTCGTTTACGGTCTTCGCCACAGGCAGTATATCAGGTCTATAAAAATCAAAGCTGCCTGATGTAGTATTTTATTATAGTATTAAACGACCAAAAAGTTCAAGTAGTTTCTTCCATAAATACAAGAGGATTGTCGCTGGGTACTGTTTAACACACTCGTTAAGAAAAATTACTGTTAATTTCCTAATAAAACTCAGAATTATCTCCACGAGCACTGAATAAGACCAGTCTGCAGCTAAAGAACACAGGCAAAGGCTGTGAAATGTTTCAAAAGAATGTTACAACAGAGCAAACTCTTGTTAAAAGATGGATGAACTTGACAGACTGATGATTTTGTCTTCATTTAGGCACCTTAATGTCCTTGAAGGCCTCTTGATACATTTTCCATACGCAAGCTGAGAATAACATGATAAAACTACTCTTTAGCATTGTGAATGCTCTGACACATTAAACATGCGTCTGTTTATTAAGAAGAAGAAGAAGAAGAAGAAGAAGAAGAAGAAGAAGAAGGAGAAGAAAAAGAAAACCAGAATTCTCTCATTTCTTTGTGTGCCATTGCCTCGAATAGGCCTATGCATTTTTATTCGTATTGTCAAAACGTTGTATAATTTAAGCGGATATTTCCCCGACAGGTTGTAGATATCTTACGATATATAGACACACTCCCATTTTGCATATTACATAAACAAGACAGTTTATTTAGAGGGGAAAATATGGATAGCGCAAGAGGAGGAGAGCTCTGCGCAGCCCCTTGGCGGATTGATTTACGCCCCATTGACTCTTTATCAGGCTCGCGAAAAAGACTGACCAATCATTTCGCTCGAAGCACACAACATAGCAGCCCGGCTCTACTTTGTAGGCGAACGAGTGGAGGCAGCATTGTGGTGAGGGGGGAAAGCCCAGTTCTATGGTACACGTTTTCCCTTCAATGAACCGTACGTTGTATAATGTCCGAGAATGTCCATTTCTGGAACTCTAAGCAACTACTATGTCGATTCCATCATAAGTCATGAGGGAGAAGATCCGAGTGCTGCCCGATTCTCCAATGTACAGTACTCCAACTCCAGGCAAGCGGGAACTGGGGAGCATCCTGAATTCCCGTCGTGTAGTTTTCAGCCCAAGCCTCCCGTGTTCAGTTCAACATGGAGTCCTTTCAGTCCCCACACGTCCAACGGCTTACCAGCGGTCTACCATCCTTACATCCCAACGCAGCCCGTGCCTTCGACGGACACCCGGTACCTCCGCACATGGCTCGACTGCGCCCCGAGAGCCGAGCCACTGCCCGGCCAGAGCCAGGTCAAAATGGAGCCACTGCTGGGACACCTCGGGGAGCCCCCAAAACTCGGAGGACAGCATGAATATGTTTTGGAATCCTCCTCGGCTCGGGAGATGAATTCCAGCCACGGCTCCGGATTTGAAGACAGTAAGGACATTTGCGAAGGTAGCGAGGACAAAGAAGGACCAGATCAAAGTAAGTTATAAAACGAGGAAGTGAACTGTCTGTAAAGCTTTTAATGCTGTCATAAAACGCGAACAAAGCGGCCGAGACCCACAGCCTCCCCACCCAGCCAAGTTTGCTCATGTGGCAGGCAGAGTTCGAGAGACAGCATGTTTGTTTGTAGGCGACACGATTGTAGAACTTTGCAAGTTTTGCATGCTTTTGATTTTACAATCCCATGATCAGACGATGTTTGCTTTTCTTGTTGTTTTTTTTTCTGTCGAACCTGAGCCACGTAGGTGGGAGTAAAGGGTGCTGATTGTGACTTTGTTTTTCCTCGCTCTCAAAATTGGAATTTTGGACTCTCTCTCTCTCTCTCTCTCTCTCTCTCTCTCTCTCTCTTTCTCTCTCTCTCTGTGTGTGTGTGTGTGTGTGTGTGTATTTGTGTAACAAAGCCTGTTATTCGCGCTTCAGCGCACCTTAGGGTTAAGCAGCCTGTTTTTTTTTAGATCAGCAGTGAATGATTTTTCCCCAAAGCTTCTCTGTTTAGCCTTCATAGCTCATACATTATTTCGAGCTTCCGTGGCATGTTACAGTACATCCCTAATATCCCTAATATCAAAGATTTATTAACGTATTTTTTTATTGTTATTGTATTTTATTAGCATTTATTATTAATAATAACAACTATAACCAATGGACCAATAGACTGCCCCGTCTTTGATATGACCTTTTTTTTGAACGTGAAAAAAATCACCAGTAGACGCATTTGTTGTGGTAGGGGTCTGGATGCAAGTGATTCTGGTACATGCGAGAGTGGGCTTCAGCCAGTCCAGAGAATGAGGGCTTTCTATCCCGGAACCAACAGAGACGCATAGTATAAGCAAGGATGATTCATCAAGATGTACCCTACCAGCACGTATTCATGGTTGCTCCCCTAAAGAGACAGTGAAAAGAAATACGTAGCCTGGGTTCTACTGAAAGCCTAACACTCTAAAAATATACTTTAATCCTTAATCGACGGGGGCACGTGTCTTGACAAACGGTTGCTTTCGATTTGGGCGGACTGACGTGGAACGGACATTGATTTTAATCCGCGAAGTAGTCTCGATCAACACAAATACTAATGGAATGGTGCGCAATAGAAATCCCCATTGTGCTGCCCTGGGCGGCGTTCCAGTATAAACTGTAGGAAAAAGCAATGAAGTTAGGAATTACATGGCCCTCTTTGTGCTCGCGGCTGCCCATGAGAAGATATTGCCCCCCTCCCCCGCCCCCAAGTTTATTAAGTTACAAGAGGAGCCAACATATCCATTAATTGTTGTATGTGGGCTCTCTGGGACGTATAGTGCAAAAAGGTCCCGAAGAAAAACGGTGCAATCAAAACGCAAGGAAATGTAATAACATGCTTTCCAATATGAAAACCCCCATTTCTGCCAAAACAATACGAAAGAATTGTCAAGAGGCGTTGCCATAAATGAGACTGTAAACTTTGACTGCGTTGTTGATCTTTTTTTCTGTAATGGATTACATCATGCGCCCTTTTAGTGTTTACTGTTAGAGATTATGTCTCAGAACTGTCTCCTAAGTAAGAATGTGGTAGACTACACATATCTCAGACATGTCCTCGAGGCCTACCTGACTGACACATGCATTAATCATTCCTGATAGGAAGAATCTTCCTATTCGTGATATAAATAGAATTGAGTCACAAGATTTAGGATATCCGAGCCAGTTGATGTAGAACTGGAGTGCGTGTTTCGGGGAGTTAGACGATAGAGTTTCACGGGTGGAAGAAGAATGGCTGCATCCAGGGAAGCTGGGCTGGGAGTTCCCAATTCACTAACGTTCGTGCTCGTGACCCTCAAGCGCTAGGTCCAAGTTATGTGCCCAGTATGCTAGCTTCACGCGACACGACAAGACGTTATAATGGAACCGTTTCTGAGCTTGGGAAAAATGTCAACCTCTTTAGTGGGCCATGGGTCAAAACGCACTTCTACCTCGCTCGTTTTCAAGGTATATGCATATCCAACATGTTTCTAGACTTATGAGCGCTCGCAACATTGTATCTAACCGTGCTCGAGATGCAGTCTCCTTATATGTCTCATCCCAAAGGCGACTTAGTGGAAACATTTTTGAACTCCCATCTGCATTCCCGAGGAAGCCACTGAGGGAGAAGAAGCCTCTTTAGAGAAGCTCTTCCGTCATAATTCTCTCCACATTTCTCCCTAAAAGGAGATAATATCATGTCACTAGCGAGCGCGGTTTAGAACGCGTTCCACTATGGTTAAGCTGTTGTAGGGTGAGGCAAACATAATTGGAACGTCGCGGCAAAGATGAAATTCATAATCTGTTTCTTATATGAAGCTGTATTCACTGCTGTCATTGCACAGGTTGTAGACACCAGTCGTTTTTCTGGAGTCATCAAGCCTAACTCAATTGGGCCGCACCCCAATGTATCATTAACTCAATTTCTCCAGCCTTATATAATAACACGAGGGTGTCTGTAAGTCATTACGAATGCACAAAAATAAAAAAAGGCTGACAGGGCCTCTATGGAACTCGAGTGATGCTAGCCTGTAATAATGCATATACATCTCTAGTGGTTCCCCAATATGTTTTGCTCTTATGGTATATTTTTAGCAGTGCTGCCTGTCTGTAAACTCCAATTATAAATGCCTGTGTGTAGGATATATTTAGCCGGTGTTGAACGTTGTACTTTCACTCATTAACAGAGTGTTTTTGTTTGAAACGCTAACTGAGTTGTCATTTGCAGATGATCCATCAGCCAACTGGTTACATGCCCGTTCGTCCAGGAAGAAGCGATGTCCATACACGAAATATCAAACCCTGGAGCTCGAGAAGGAATTTCTCTTCAACATGTACCTCACCCGAGACCGGCGACACGAGGTAGCGCGCTTGCTGAACTTGACGGAGCGGCAAGTTAAAATTTGGTTCCAAAACCGAAGGATGAAAATGAAGAAAATGAATAAGGACCAGCCCAAGGAATGAGGGCAAAAAGAAGCTATGCCCAGTCTTTAACTACCATCTTTAATCTAAAGTATGCATACCTCTGGACAGTGATACAAGGAGTGTTTGTAGCCTGTGTGTTTACCCTACTTAAAAAAAAAAAAAACAAAAACAAAAAAAAACAAACAAAAAAAAAATTCTGGGATGCAGACCAACAGAGAATACTTAGACATAAATATTCTTCACCGGTATTCTTTTCATGAGGCTACTTGGTTGCAAAGCAGAACACTAGTCACGAACTCAAACTAGAAAAAAATGAAACTATGTAATTCATACCTACTAATTGTCCTTTATTTTAAATTTCGTTTCCACCATTCCTTCTTAACGTAAATATACCTACGGCTACTTATATTTTTACTAAAAGAAATGCAGAGTAGACATCGTTATTTTTCTTCTCTAATTTGTAAAAGCGTTATTTTGGCAGTGGGGTGATTACGCCTTTAACAAAATTGCGGCATTATTATTATTATTATTATTATTATTATTATTATTATTATTATTCGTTACATTTGATGTTTCCTTAGATCAAGGGAACTCTTTTCAACGCCGTTTATGGAACAAATATTCAGGTATTCAGTCATTAACAGGCTAGCTCTTTAACTTTTTTTTTCTTTTTTACATTTCATTTTATTTGAGGGTCTTAATACTGGAATAAAAATAGGAATGCCTTTTCCTTAGCTTTGCCATGCTCATTTTTAAGTCTATTATAGCAACATATTTCTTCTTATTGGATGAAATCCTTTTGCTTTGGTAATATGTAATACTTTTGAGTTTAAAATTTACTTCCACCATCCTGTGTTACTTTACGTTTAAATAAGACATTAAAACATTGATAGATTTAATAAAAATTATGTTTAGATTACATACCAATCTAAATGTCATATAGTAACAACTTCAACATTGTTTTGTAATTAGACATTAACTGTACAGGCCCTTACGTATTCCAGTATGTATTTAAATATTGCCCCAATTATGACATCAAAGAACGAATTAACTTATGGACGATATCTGCTGGATGTGTTTCTATGCGTGTAGTTAGCGTGTTAGTAATAAAATAATTCGGCCATAATGAAGTATGATAACCCAGCTGAATACACATTCAGTCGCATTTACGTGTATAAATGTTTACATACATCAGCGCATGTCTTGTAGATAGGTTTAATTACCCTCTTATGTGATTTTGAATTAGCTAGTAAAACTGAAAGTTCTTTCATATGTAGTCTTAGTATGAGAATTCTAATTTATTGTAAATACGATGTTTTTTTCTCTTGGTTTCGGTGGATTGCGTTTTACATTGTGTTAAAAGGGATGAGCTTTGAAGAGTTCTTATACTTGAATAAGCAGGTAGACGTGTTCTTTCTACTTTCAGATAATGTTTACATGTTGTTGTCAATTTGTGTTGTCAGAGATAACTATTATGTTCCAATGTTGTTCGCTCGACCTTGTATTGCTTTGCTTGTGCAGAAATCCCAACATGTTTGCATATGTCTATCTTCTGTCAACTAAAAGCCTGGACTTTTCTGGAGTCGCGTGCACGTCTGTCTGCAACTTTCAACAGTATTATTGGAGTGTGAGACACCATTAACCGACTCCTCTCTAACTATGACACCCCCCCTCTCTCTCTCTCTCTCTCTCTCTCTCACACACACACACACACACACACACACACTTCCTTTGGCATGCTGAAATCGCTCCCCCTTTTCCTTCATTTTTTTTGATCATTTATTGTAGAAAATAACAAATTCCCTGGATTTTGGAAACCTTAGTGAAACGCTCTCTCAGTCACGTAACCCAGTGCTCTTTTTGTACACAACTGCTCCTGTTTTTCTCTCTCTGTGCGATGGCACGGCGGATGCTGGACTTGTATTAAAGGTTTACATAGAACACTATATGAGTTACTACCTGGGTTCTTGTCATTTTTGTGTCTACATGAATATGTCTATATGAATATATATATATATATATATATATATATATATATATATATATATATATATATATACTATAGTAGTTGAACACTGTGGTTATTGTCAAGCGGTTGCATACAGAAAATATGTTGTTACATCAACACAATTGCTTTCTTTAAGTTGATTTGTTTTGCTAATGATTGTGTTCATGTAACATATTTCATTCATGTGCAACCACCTGACACATTGACACATTTTAATAATGTCAGTTCAAACTTTTTTTTCAGTGCATGCAGTAGCTTACTGTTCTTCTTTGAAGTCTTCCAAAGGGGCTCTTTTATGTTATAAAATGAAAAAAGACAGAAAGAAAACATAACCACCACCAAAAACAGCAACCATGTTTACGAACACGAGCAGCTAACTTATTTACAACGTAAGCGTAAACGTCTCCCTGTAACTCCTGAAGTAAATCAGCGCTTATCCTTAAGTGCCCTCATCCGCTGCATGTCGAAGAGAAATGCTCTGTAGTTTTCAGTACCACATTTATTTTGTGCTGTAACGAGGGGCATGTGTTGCAAATATGCTATCGTGCGTCGGAGCATTTGTCTCGCATTGAGGATGAGGGGAACGTGCATGTCATATGTGGACAACCGAAGGGATTTTGGAGGAGTACTTTCTGGATCGACTTTTGTTTTGCTTAACACCAGGCTGTAATTAATAACGATGTCAAACTAAACCATCTCTGATATTTCCCACTCTAAATGGAGTCTCTCTTAGACCAGGCTAGTCTTCATATATTTCATTATGTATAAGTTAATTCGACATAAATGTGAATGCAATCTTCGGTCTTTCATCCGGGCACCACTGTATTTAGCTTAGCCGCATTAAAAATACACCAATATTTTGCTAACATGGCTGCCTAATAAAATAAACACAATAAGCCTATTATAGGTCAAAGGTCCTATTTTCATTTTTTGTCCATGTTTGCACACAATTCATGAACATCTTAGTGGAAAAATTAGCTATTTATTAAACCAGTAGCCGCTGTAGATTTTCCTTCAAACAAAAGAAACAAATGAAGAGACATTGAACGAAGATGCTAAAATCCCCCACAGACCGTAACAATTAAACAATTCTTGTTTTGAAGGCAGAGCCAGCAGTCCTGGCCCACAGATGTGTCAAAATTCATAACCATATAACGTTCTAATCCATTCTGTTCTTTTTGCGGCCATAGATTTACATTCAGAGGATGGCCTGTACACCTATATTCTGGTGCGTTCTTTTGGATGTTTTGAAAGGAAACAAACTGCTAGAAAGGATGTGCACTCGCACTTTGGAGGAGGGAATGGGAAGTCGACCGTCATAAAAAAGAGAAAGAAAATTCAATTCAGTGTGCCGCAATAAAATAATATGACTGCAATAAAACTTTATAGGGTATACATTTCTGAAGGTTAAGAACTAAATGGCTGTAAAGCAAATACTGCGCTGGAAAAGAGAGCAAAAGCTTTCGAAGCCCCAATAATGGTTAGGCAGGGCAATTCGACGACGCATGGTCTCTGGACAGGGGAGACCTGTTGATTTGTTTCATTTTGACCCTTTTCTTGCATTTGTCGTTTTATTGTTCGCAGCGTTTGTTGTTCAGAGCGCCAGATTCCTCGCGGAGTAGGGGGCCTCGAGCAGTGAGATCTGGACTTCCAGATGAGAGCTCGGAGTCCAGTTCGCTCGACGCCCACCCTTTGTTCCATTTCCGAGCGCACCACAGCCGTCTTATAGTGGGGGCCATAAAATGACACAAAAAGGATCTCTGGCGAGACGTCTGGGATGACCAACCTTAATTTGTTTACAGCCCTTGCGACCAAGCTCGACTCCTCCATTTTGTGGCCTGACATCCGATTGGGCCGCGGTGGGGCCTGATACAATGGACGGTTGCTAAAGAACAGCTTTTCTCTCCCTCAAAATGCGCGTCCTCTCCAATTCAATCTACCGTTGCATTCCTTGGAGACGCTGAAAAGGTTCAGTTATAACAGTAGCAGAGCAGAAAACTGACGCTGAATTGTAGATGTAGATCATTTAAATATAATCAGCTTGACAGTACACTGCTGTAAGAGGTGTTTATGCGCCGGAGTGCTAGAATGGAGAAGAACAAGAGGACAATATTTATTTCAAAGCAAACCTTCAACTGAGAACTGAGCTTGCCTTGAATACAGTTATTAAAAAGCAACATTGTACTGGATGTACTTTACATCTATGCTTTATAAGCTGTTATATGTAAGATAAAAAAGGACATAGACTCACTGTTCTAGTCTACGTAAAATGAAGTGAAAAGACCAGGAATGACGTGCATGTAATACACATATAATGCCTAATAATGTTGCACAACTATTTTGAAAATATGAAATAAATCTTTGTAAAGAACATTAGCGTATAAACTATAAATAGGAAACGTGTTTTGTGTTACATATACACATATACGTATGTATATATCCGCACATAAATATATATATACTACCACTACGACTGATAATATATATATATATATATATATATATATATATATATATATATATATATATATATATATATATATATTATAGAAAGAGATATATATATATATATATATATCAAAAACCCATATATATATATATATATATATATATATATATATATAGATAGATAGATAGATAGATAGATAGATAGATAGAAAGATATAAGTAGATAGATATAGGTTTTTTGAACACTGTAAATCAGATATATGATTGAATTCGCCGCAATAGCTTACTAAAATTTTAAATGATAATAGATACGTTCAAAATAGCTTTCGACAATGACAAATGCAAGCATGAAGTATTACCTTTCAGTTATAAGTTACAATGTACTGCAAAGAAAGTAATTTATTTAAATATTTAAATCATATATCTGATCAGAGCTGCAGATGCAGAGGTTTTCCACGCTTTACTTCTGAGAAAGGTTGATCTTTTTTGCGCGCATGGTAGATTATTTTCTAAGAAGGCATGCCGACATGAACTGAGACACGTTTTAAAAGTAAAATACTCTTCTAAAAGTAATAAACATTAAATCTACATGTGGCAATAAACAAATTAGGCTAGTTAAAACAATACAGATATATATTTTAAGGAGTGTTTTTTTCCTCGTCGACTTTGACCGTGTTTGAACAGGAGTCAGGACAGATAACCTACAGTTTAAACTGAACTGCTTGTTATGGTGAATTAAAAATAATTACTTAACCTCTTACATGACTGGATTTGCACTTACGGAGCTGTTAATACCCTCATTTCGGGTTTATGTCTGTTGTTTATAGAACCATTAGGTCATGGACTTCCGTCCCACCGAGGCTACACTTCCTCATGGCATTACGCGAAGTGGCCACATGATGGCAATGTTGCTCTACCAAAAAAACAACCTGACAACCGCTTTTTCTTACAGCCGGAAATCACTGAGGCCGTAGAGAGCCTGTTTTACACTTGATTAAAATTAGGACAACAGCGTTACACCACAGAAGACAGACGTCTTATTGATTTGGGGCGAAAAATGTCGTTTCTGTTAACTACTACATTTCATTTGTGAAATTAATATTAGAGCTTTAGGACTTTCCAAGGATTTCATGAATATCATCATCAGTGTACCGTTAAAATGTACATATTATTTGCGCGTTCATCAGGATTATAAAAAAATAATAATGTGAATAATTAATACATAAACCAGAAAGTAAAATAAGACAAAACACTTATTACATATTTTTCATTTTTTTATTAGTGTACTATACAAATAATGTTTTGGTAACAGTAGAAGAATCAAGAAATGACAGAAAATATTGTCAACAAATAAATACCTTCTTAATGAGCAGGCTTTAGCTGTAGCAGCATTTCAGCAAAGGTCCTTCTTGGGAAATCGCCTTTGTTCATTTACAGTTGTGGAAATTAGAGAAATGAGTTCTTCTTCCCTTTAGGCTTTTAACAAGCTGTCGTAACCAATATAGCCTACATAATTGCAATTAAAATCAAGACGTATAGTTTCAGCAACACGAATTATTCTGCTTCTACAGAAGTCACGATTGGAATGCATCTGATTTTTTATTGGACACATGAACATTTTTGAACATTGAACTTCATTCCGTCATACAACAGTCACGTAGAATATTTAACAACAGAATAATCCGTGTAAAAAATAAACATTTCACTGCCACAGTGACTTTGAGAACGGAGAGTCTTTTCTTTTGTCACTTCTTTTCTTTGTTTCTTTGTTTTATATAATTACGTATTTTAAATTGCTTCAGAAAGTATGAATTATGGTAACAATAAATTATGTTAATTCATAGCTTAGCGTGACAATATTCCTCCAAGGCTAAAGGAAACTTTGACTGTTTTGGTCACACCGCTCATTACACATTGCGGTGATTTGAAAAATAAAAACGCCACAATTATTCCTTTTTTCCTAAAACAAGCGATTCTCCACATTAATCTTTCACTTTTTTGGTAGGCATCGTATTTTTTCAGTTTCTGCCCTTACATGAAGTCATCAACGTGTAAATCAGTCCAGACTCACGTTATCACCCGTCAGTTTTTCCAGCACAATACTATTGGTTAATTTGAGATTTTCTGCTGCACATTGCACGAGCGTATGGGAAACAGAGCAAAATGACAATTAAATACTTTAACATTTCTACTCCCGAGAAATTACACCGAGCGAAGCATTTACGGCTCTGGCCGTGGGATCTCATAAAATCCTAACAGCTTTTTTGATGCACGATGTAAACAATAAACAGGCGAGGCGTTTATTGCGCTGTATAGTTTGTTCAACCGTTTACAGACACGTTGTCCATTACGCCTGCTGTGCACTTCATTTTTGCCGTCTTAACATCTTTACAAATATCATATTCACACAAAACAAGATTATTAAAACGTTACATGTGACTACCTCGTTTGTTTTCGAAAGGCGCCTGAGCTGTCCAAGAGGATGCTTTGAAGAGTTGTTTAAGGAAGTTCGTTAGGTTTATAGTACTTGTTTAAACCGATATCAATTAAATCGTGTACTTTTGCTATTCGCCACGGCGAGCCTGGCATTTTCGATGAAGCGGACACTATCTCGTTAGGGGACTTGGTATTAATGATTAAATTTGTAGCCTTTTAGGTTGTATGTGATCAACATCCAGCAAAAAAATCAATCTTTGAATGGGTGGTTTAGAGCGGCTGAGTTGGGAAGGGGAGGGTGGAGGCTATGTATTTGATCTGATGCAAAGCGGCAGATTTCTCATTAACTTACCCGCTTGAATATATTAATGGGCATATTCTCCCCTCCTCTCTCCCATAGCCCCCCTTTCTCTCTCCCCTGCTCCCTCGCTCCCCACCGTACCCTCTCCCTTTCTCTTTTACTCTCTTTTTCATTCTCTCACTCTCTCCATATCAGAAGCGCGCAGAGCGGTGGCCGTGTGGGGACGCAAGAAGCCAATGGAATGAGGACTCGATAATAGATGCAAATGATCGTGAAAGGACACAGCAAAATATGAAACAACTCATTTGCAGCGGAGTAAATCACAGAAAACTGTTTGGGAACTGGCTTCCTGCACCGGGATTGTGATGCTGGATCTCCTGAGCGGCGCGTTGTCAGTGGAAGCTGAATAGCTGAGGCAGTTTAAAACAAGGTATACAAACACAGGCCATCCACTGATTGGAAATCAGTGCCTATTCTGGTATTCTTTGTTTTTTTTTTGCTTCAGAACCTGTCCCTGGCTAACACACTGACACAGTTCAACCAAAAACAACCTCCTGCACAACAACAACAATAACAACAAAACATCGACTGCAGAAAAAAGATGAGCTCCTATTTTGTCAACTCACTCTTCTCCAAATACAAAAGTGGAGAGTCGTTACGTCCCAATTATTACGAGTGTGGGTTTGCGCAGGACCTGGGGACTAGACCCACCGTCGTGTACGGTCCAGGCACCGGGGCAACTTTCCAGCATGCGCCACAGATCCAGGAGTTTTACCACCACGGCGCGTCCACGCTCTCCGCTGCTCCTTACCAGCAAAGTCCGTGCGCTGTGACTTGTCACGGCGAGCCGGGAAACTTCTACGGCTACGATGCTCTGCAAAGGCAAACTCTCTTCGGCGCTCAGGACGCCGACTTGGTCCAGTACAGCGACTGTAAATTAGCCGCGGGAGGCATCGGCGACGAAACGGACAACACGGAGCAGAGTCCGTCCCCCACACAGCTGTTCCCCTGGATGCGACCGCAAGGTGAGCTCTCGGCAGACACTCAACTGCAAACTCTCGTGTGTTTGTGTTGGTGGGAGTGCGATCAAACTTAGCTGCCCGCGCGCAAAATCTCAGGGCAATTTAGAGGTCTGAGAGCCGCATTTCCTGTGTGCGCGTGAGAGGGGGGACAATAGCGGGCTTTTATTGTTTTATGGTGTTCAAAACTTGTGAATCACTTTACAGTTTAATGACCCTGCTATAGAACGAGGGGAGAAGGAGAATAAGAGTGAGCCAGAAGAAGCTCCATTCTTTTTCCCCCTTTACCCATGTGTGAGACTCTGGCCTACAGCTGATCTTTCACTTCTCACCCCAGTCAAAGTTTTACTGCAGCTTTTTTACGACTTACAGTGATGTCGAGGCTTATTTCACTACAGGGTGGCCGTTTCACACAGGTTCTGTCTTTTACTGCGCTGCACATGTGACGAGATGTTAGCGTGGCTTATGACAGCTCTGCTACAGCTTCTGACGTCCCTATTAGTGGATAATCATGTAACAATATCGGAACACTTCTGTATTTAATTGTGGGGCTGTTCTATTTCATCACTGCGTAACCCTTTGGGGGATCTCCGTGGGGTACACCATAAGCCCACTCATAAACCGATAATGTGCTTGCACTTGAATAGCGGATTAGCAAAACATTTGAATAAGACTTTTTAACACTACCTAGGGATGCCTTAGCAGCAGGATTATTACTGCTAATCGTGTGAAAATGTCGCCTTTCTCCAATATGCTGGTTATACGAACGTTTTCTGGAACATCTCTAACGTGTTTGACCTTGTTTTTGTCAGTAGCTGCCGGACGCAGGCGAGGCCGCCAGACCTACAGCCGCTACCAGACACTTGAGCTGGAGAAGGAGTTCCTCTTCAACCCCTACCTGACTCGCAAGCGGCGCATCGAGGTGTCGCACGCCTTAGGACTGACCGAGCGGCAGGTCAAAATCTGGTTCCAAAACCGCCGCATGAAATGGAAAAAGGAGAACAACAAGGACAAGTTCCCCAGCAGTAAGTCAGAACAGGAGGCGATTGAGAAGGAGAAGCGGGAGAAGGAGCAGGCGGCTGGAGCCCAGTCGGCAAGTGAAGACTGCGAGAAGGCTAAACAAATATAGAGTGGACGTGAAGGGAGGGCAGACAGCAATCAGGAGCGCGAAATTAAAAAAAAGTATATTTAAAAAAGAGAGACGTTGAAAAGGCGGAGAGTGGTTTTGTCGAATAGACACTTCAGTCTACGACGGGTCATTACATGTTTCAATCGATGGAGGGAAAGATGGTGGCGGAAAAGGACCCTAAATCTAATGTGTGACCACCGAACTTTATGATGACGAACGACATGAAGCATTTCTACGTTTTGTTTTTGTTTTTCTCTAATGTTCAGAGAGTAGGCCTATTGTAAACTAGCCTCCTTTCTTCGTGGAATAATTATTGTGAAAACTCAGTTTCTATTGTTAGGATTTTGACATTAACAATTACCTTGGCAGCTGTATAGTTCTTAAGTTAAATGGTGCACTTTTAACTGTTCTCACTTATATGTTATGATGATGACGTAGCGATTAATGACTTCCAACAACATGAAACTGCCTATTTATGCCGTAGAATATCTTTTTACACCCCTTTAGTTTTCTCTCAGATTGATGGTATTTTGTTGTCTTCCTTTCTTGGGTTAAGCATGCGCACAGTGGATAAAAATAAATAAAAAAGGAAATAAAAAAAGATGTCATGTGACCCATTGTTTACTGTGAAACAGATTTTTTGTACTGTACTCGTGAATTGGTTCTTGGGAACTTGACGATATGCTTTCATTGTTCTTCATCACTTTGTTCTCTTGTCTAAACCTGGAAGAAGACGAAAAAAAGTGGGCACAATAAAGTTTACAAGCGAGAATCCATGACAACGCTTGTTTTCTCTGCTTCATTTACCTTTAAGGTGTGCATATGAGGGACAGTGTGCTGTCAACGTCAGGCCAACACTAATTTGTACTTCTAGGCCTCTATAGGTCATTATGCAGCCTCATTTTAAACATAGAAATGTACTGGGCTGCAAAGCTAAGAAACATTACTACTGCATGACAAATTGCCCTGCGCAGGTGAGCACCACGCACTTGTCATATAGTGTGGTTTGAACTTGGATTTACAGCATTAGTTGCATGCTAAGTAGGAGTGGGCATGTAGAACCACAATTCAAACGCCTCATACCTATTTTGACGACCACAATTGTAACACGACGCTTTATGCGACCAAGCAGAATCAGATTAGGCCGTGCGTTATCGAGAAGACACATTGACCCAGCATTCTATTCTGGTTTTGCAGAGAAATGAGGGCATTTGCATTGCTTTTAAAGATATGCTCCGTTATCAGGTGAATTGTTGACACAGATATATTCTGTTCTCTGTAACAGTTAGTTCTGAATTCAGCGTTATGAATGATGATTCTTCATTTAAAGCACAACCTAGTCCAGGACTAGGCTTAGTCCCTGAGAAACCAACTCTAAGATAAGATCTTTTCTTATTTACACAGAGACAGATAGAAAGACACCAACCCTCTCACAACACACCCACACATTTGAGGTACAGACAACGGTAAAAGCAGTGGAAAAATGTGCTTGCAATGCACTAAGCCAATTCGTCGCCGTGGAAATGGCTTGCTGGTGATGATTACTCCGTCTATAGGGATGCTCTGAAGCAGAAACTTCCTTCAAGTAAGGGCCTGAGCCATTATGCCTTATAGGGGTTTCTAAACAGGCTCACCCGATTGTACACACAGTACAGACTCCAGTGATGACGTTCGGGGACACTCAGAAGTGTGGTGAGGTATCTACAGTGTCTAAAATCAATACTGAAGTAAATAGGTTTTTTTGTTATTTGTGTGGTGTCCACCGAAACATGGAGCACCTTCCTAAATCTGGGCTGCTTGATCCCATACATTTATACAGTTTCTGGGTAGTTTATCGCTGGACATGGCGTCAGGTGATTACAGAGACGTGGGCTGCTCAGTAGTCCTTCGATTTTTATGTTCTGCTCTGCTTTTCTGTTGACTGTGGTTATCCTTGTCTGGAAGTGAATAATTTAACGTGCTTTACGTGGATGGTCAGCGGTGTGCAGTTTTTTTTAGTTCACTTCAGACAGAAGCCTGGCATTCATTGGAGGACTCGCCGTCACGTGCCAATAGTCACGTGGTCTATTTGGAAACGGGCTGATTTTTTGGTGTAAATCTAGACTGTAATTCTATAATATATCACTGGACCTCGTAAAACAGAAACGAACCCCCCCAAATTATGAGTTCACTGTATTATGCCAACGCGTTTTTTTCCCAGTACCAAGCGGCGAGTTCGGTTTTCCCAACTGGAGTGTTTCCTGAACAAACTTCTTGCGCCTTTGCGTCCAGTTCACAGCGGGCCAGCGCCTATGGCTCGGGCGCTACCGGTTTGCCGTCCTCTACCTCCACCCCCTCGTCCTCCGCCTCTCGGCCGAGTTTGTGCACTGACAGTGGAAGTCTTTCCACCCAGAGCCAAGGCATGTACCCCGCAGCGTATGGGCTGGGAGCCGGCGCTTTGAGCATGCACGGCTCGCGCTTTGAGCACCCGAGCCTGTCCATGATGTGCGTCGCCGACCCTACCAACGCGGCCAGCTGCGGCAAGGCAGAGCAGCGGAGCTGCCATCAACACAACGAGGACAACCTCCGGATATACCCGTGGATGAGAAGTACAGGTTTGTAGGAGTTTACATTTCTAAAGGATAGGGCTTATGTGTGTCTATAGCGAAGGGGGGTGGGGGGGTGGGGTGGGGTGCAGGAGGGGGGCGACCTAATGATTACAAAGAACTCTCTTTAACTGTGGCAAGGCGAAGTGGCCAGAGAAACTTCCTGAACTCTGCCTGACGCTGCTCGGGTCTTTTATGGTTCTACGACCTCAATAAAACCACAACTTAAGACTTCTGAATATGCATAAGACGGTGTTGTGCTGAAAAAAAGGGAGATGTTAGTGGGGGGAGGGTGCAGGATGGGGCTACCACTGCTGTTTTAGTATTCGGAAATACCACGGCTGACTATTAGGATTAACTTGTTCATGTTGTTTACAATGGCATGTCTGAGTGGGCGGTGGAACAATCCAAGTATTCCCAGACGAACTAAGCAATATTCCAGCCACCGCGTAAAACTGATATCCTATTGTGACGTCAAATCTAGTCAATTAGTTCATTCCAATTTTTCAATTTTTCTTTGATTTAAATTACTGTGAATTGTGTTTGTTGCTTGATAACTTTTTCAGATATATGTTGTAGAGGATCTCTTGTAGCTTTAATTTGTGTCTGGATGCGGTGAACTTGAGGGTTTATGTCTGTCAGAAATTTTGATAAATTATGAGTATGATAAATTACTTAAAATTACTCTTGGTGTAAGTGTAAGGCGTAGGCCTGCAAAATTACATTACGTGTGTGTGTGTGTGTGTGTGTGTGTTTGACAAGACATCTTATTCTAATCTGTCCCTCACTTCTGCGCCACAGAAACTGGTGTTCATTTCACCTTTGCTGAATTCTTGTTCTTTCCATTCACTTGTTTCCAACAGTCAATATTGTTTACAATATTTAGGCTGCCTAAGTGAAAAACAACCATAATTGTCATGCCTAATTATTTTTGTAAGGACTCAACGCGCACTCCCTTAGCACCAAAGTTCTTATCAGTCAATTGTCATACTTAAGCACTCTTCGGTTTGATAGCCGCGGGGTAAAAAAACAACGGCGTAAATAGTTTTGAAATAGATACCACCTCATTAGCAAGTCCCCAGACATTTACCAGCAGGTAGGCCTATAGCCTTGTTTGAACATACATTCCCTCTGCCCTTTAAAGTTGTGTGTCCCTCAAATTCTAATCTAGGCATACTGAATGCTTTGCGGACAGGTCTACCTATTGCTATGGCGTTAATATGAGCAACTCTTTGACTTCATAAATCGAGTTTCAATTTCAAGCATGATTTAGTCTAGACTCGCTTCATAAAATGGAAGATCAGAAGAGTTAAGCTCCGTTCCACACTGAGACAAACAAATATTTGATAGTCTCTTTGGCTCTGCTAATTAGATTTTTCATGATAAGCCAAATGTTGTTTATGCCGCTGTACAATAAGCTGTAAAGGCGCATCCATTGACCGACAGCTAGCTACGCACGTTAGGAAGAGAGAGAGAGGGAGAGAGAGAGAGAGAGAGAGAAAGAGAGAGAGAGAGAGCGAGAAAGAGAGAGAGAGATATGAGGACTATTATCATACACGACCTACAGTACAATTTTATCATTTGGTTCTTTTAGATATTTAATGATCATACGCCTTTAAAATGGTTCCTCAAAGGTTCTATGTGGGACAGTTCCATACGGGACAGTGAACACTCAGAAAACATCTTGGCATGATTAAATGGTTAACTGGCTCTTCTTTATGTTGACAACCTGTTGTATATGCTGTATATTTTAAATGGATCATAGCACGGAAAAGGGGTCTACTATTGTAAGAGCTCTTGTTAAATAGAGTCTTTGGTGTATATATATATATATATATATATATATATATATATATATATATATATATATATATATATATATATTACTAAAGACTCTATTTAACAATAGCTCTTACAATGGTAGAGCTTAGATAGAAAATAGAAAATAGAAATTTTGCTTATACAGTCACATTGCTTCTATAAAGTGCATCTGCCCTTCTTTATGATGGTCATTTTACCTCTCCTCTCTGATACAAACTCTCTCTCTCTCTCTCTCTCTCTCTCTCTCTCTCTCGTTCCACTTTTCTCGTGCAGCATTCTTGAGTACAACGCGCGCCTTTGTTTCCAGTTGTCTAAAAGGGTGTTCTGCAGAGACACCAACACAGCAAATATGCCAGTCTGTTTAAAGGGGAAAAACAGTTCCACTGTAGTGAATTTCACTCATAAGAAGACCTTTATTTTCCTGTCTTGTCCTCTTTCTGTTTCCTCTTTCGTTTTCTCTCTCCTTCTCCAGGAATCCGTTTAGCTTGTCCGGAGCCAGGCTTATCACACAGAAAGTGACACGTCGCCAGAGACGGAAATAAGAACCACACTGACTAAAGAGAGCAATAAAAAAGTTCAAAAAGCTCACAAACGTAAAGCAGACTCCATTTGTCGACGGTCTGCTCAAAACGGAAGCGGGATGAAAGCAGTCTGGTTCTCATCGGCGGGGGCGCTGAGCCGCAGCAGGAAGATTTCTCCTCTCTTTTAATACTCTTAAAGCTGTGCCTTACTAAGATGGATACAGCAACGCTTCAGCGCCTCTGTGTAAAGAGACTACCGTATTGTTGACTTTGGTGGCGTTTAGGAGGAAGTCCGAACGCCAAGCTTTCCTCCAGAATCGGGAATGTGCCTCACATGTGTGCGCGAGAATGATGCGCCCTCGCTTCAAGGGTATTTGTAGACGTTGCTTCTGGGATTTAGCTCTGTATTTAAGATAAGAGTCAATGCACGCACTAGCCACAAAGCCTAATTTCGTCATGTGTCAGAGTACATTAAATTGCAGGCGTGGAACCAATAGTGTTGGAAAAAGAGTGCATTAGGAAAGCTGGACAATTTCAAAGAGAATTTCAGCAGAAAGCTAATTATTTTCATCTAGTAACCAGCACACAGATTTTTTCTCAAATGCTTGAAGCTTCTGCTACTACCTATTTAATTGTTCTTGTATTCCTTAAAACAGGAGGCTTTGATCTCTGCTTATATGTTCAGCTCTCCTCTTTTCGACAATGTATACTTTATGCAGTTTAAAATCAATAAATGACTAAAATAAATGAAATGAAATATTTACAGTGAATATGCTGCAACATTTGGGCTATTGTGTCAGAAAAAACGCAGTGTACAAAACATACGAAAATAAAACCTTAACGCG